GTTGTGTATGTGGGGGGGGGGGGGGTGGAGGACGGAGGGCAGAGGGTGGGGAGAGTTATTGGCGAGAGGGAGCGATGGGAGGGGGGCACGGGCCGGGCCCTGGGTGACGCAGACGCCGACCAGGCAAACGAGGACAAACCTCCAGGGTCACAGCTGCATCCAATTAGGAGCCTGCAACGAGAGGTGACATGACTGGCCGGAGCTGGCCACAGGGGCGGGCGTCTTAACAGCCGGCTCCGACTCTTCAGGGCGTCTACCCAGCCAACTCCCACACCCACCGAGCCGCGCCCCTATGGCGTAGTTGACGGCGTCCCCCAGAACCGCGCTGGTCATGAACACGGCGAACAGCAAGCCCACGTCCAGCTGGCCCATGCCCGCAAACGCGCCGGCCGCAAAGAGCAGGGAGTCCCCAGGCAGGAAGGGCGTCAGCACGAGCCCCGTCTCACAGAATACAATGCCCTGGTTGGATTGGGCGGGAGGTTTTGGAGGGGATTGCAGAGAGATGATGCGATGACTCTCCGAGCACAAGGCCAGCTGCCGCACAGGGAGCCTTGGAGTGAGTAGCGCGGCGCCGACTGGGTTGATCATTGCGCTGCTCCCAGCACTGGGGGTGCAGGCAGGGTGTCGGCATGTGGGCAGCAGGCCCCTGCCGCGCGCGTGGCCTCACACAGAGCCCCGCTAAAGCAAAACACCGAGAATGGTCTAGCTGCAACATGATAGTGGCAAAGAAGGCGGATGGACGCCGATCTGAGAGGCCCTTGGAGTGCGTTGGGGCGACGCCGCCCGTCCTGGCGGGCCCCAGCCACCCACCCAGAGCAGCGCGTAGGTTGCGGTGCCGTGCGCCTGGATGAGGGCCGACAGGTGCTTGTCCAGGTGCAGCACCAGGCTCACGATGGCTGGGGTGGATTCAGGGGTGAGTGTGCCAGGGGCACCGGCAACCAGCGGCTGCAATTCAAGGGGTTCAGAGCAGGAGGAGTGTGCACCGCTCATCCTGCATTACGGTGCGCTCACGCCTGGAAGGGCCTCGCAGCTGTCACTGCGGCCAGCGTCAGCTGTGGGGACCACGCGCTTGCACGCGGTACAGCTGCGCTCAGCGAGTGCCGCCTCTCACTCTTGAGGATGCCGCCCTCGCCACTCGCGGCCGCAGCGGCTGCGTGTGCGACAGACGGCAAGCAGCACGCCAGTGCGCTTGCCCCGGCGACAATGGCGGCAAGCCTGGCGGCACGCGGCAGCCAAGCGGGCAGCTGCGGCACTGCAGGCGCCAGCACTGCAGACTGGCATTTTGGTTGCTGTACGGCGAGGTGTTCGGCCCTGCGAAGCGCCACCTGTCGCTCGAATGGCACGTCACCAGCCGCTGCGGCCACCTGCTTCCCCGGCGCCGGGGCGCGCGGAGAGACGCGCCACGCCACTGTCCGTGGACCAAGCAGCATCGTCTGCGCACAGTGGCGCCCTCCCGTCCCACTTTCCATGCTGATGCGCATCGTCGTTGTCGCTGGCTCCGTCAGTGACCTGAGATCGTGTGAGTTGTCACGACGCTACAGCTCGCAGGTACAATTCATTTGTCATGAATTTGTACTAATAGAATAGCTCCAATGAGCTTACCGGATATGAAGTCGCCCCCGGCAGGACCATTCTGAACGTGGCACACACACTGTTGTGGCATAGCGCAGCATCGCTCGTGTCCTGCATTGCTTCAAGGTGCGCTTTCACAATGTGACATCCTGGATCTGACCATTGGACATGAGCAGGCATCGCGCTGTGATGGGCAGCCAAGCCCGGGGTGCAACCGGACTACTGGACTTGACTGCTCACAGGAACCATGGTGGCAGGCCTGAGGGTATGAACACCTTGGACGTAGGCCGAGTGGAGGTGAGTCACACATCGAAATACCCAGTTGCCAAAAGCATCCCTTGCAACCCCACACCCCAATTAGAGTTGGCCTGGGGTGCGTATTGCAGCATCGGCGTTCAAACTCAAGTGGACCTGCCTCTGGCTCGAAGGCAGGGGTCACTCGAAGGGTCTTCGCATTACAAAACAGGCTGTAGAAGTCCCATTGTCCCAAAACAAACCACCGACAACCGGCGTTGCGAAACAGCAGCTCCATGCTGCTGACAGCACTGCGCGCTGTGCCCCAAACGGAAAATCAGGTGACGAAGCACACAGGAATTCATCAAATGCTTGAGTCTACATCATGATTGCTTCAATCACTGTGTATCAATTGAGTTCATGCGTGCAGGCGAGTTCTGACCAACTTTCACCACAAGCCGCCACCCACCCACCCACCATCCTGGGGTCCGCGAGCCAGCATGCATAATCCCACCAGTCGGCAGCGCCGTTCGGCTGCGCCTCGCAAAGCAAATCGACACGAACTTCAGGGGCTGGCCCCTGCGTCGACCGCCTCCTTCAACTCAGGGTCCTTGTGCAGCCAGAACCCTGGCGCGGCGGACGCGGCAAGGGTTGAGGCACCAGTGAGTGGAAGGGATCAGCAACATGGTGGCTTGCCAAGGTCCAACAGCGATCACTGTGATCTGGGTTCCAAGGCGAGCGGTAGGACCCGCGTGTGCGCGGCAGGGCCGCGCAGCGCGACCACTGCCATGTGTGCTTGGCCGCATGCGTGCTGGACCCTGGAACCATCATCCTAGAACCCCGCCACAAAAGCACCCTACCACTGAACCCCGTCCAACCACCTCCCTCACTCCCACCCTTGCACACACAGGCGCACGCGCACACACACTCACACGCACATGCGCACGCACATGCACACGCACGCGCACACGCACACACCAATGCACGCCCGCACGAACGAATGCACACGCACGCGCACGCGCGCACACAACAAGGGAAGGACGCGCACCAGCGGATATGAACAGGAAGGTGATGACCAGCATGAGGCCCTTGAGGTAGTTGGCGCTGCCGTCCTGCAGCACCACCACCGCCAGCAGCACGGATATGAAGAGCACCAGCGCCTCAAACTCGTTGAAGTTCAGGTCCAGGGGCTGCCCCATGGCCCAGGCCAGCACCACGCAGAAGGGGATGATCAGCACAGCCACCTGCGTGCTGCTGCCTGGGGTGGGGGAGGGGATCATTGGGAGAGAAAGCGGACCGGGGTGAGGGGAGCGGCGGGCACAAGGCATGGCGTTCTGCACGAGCCACAGAGGCCAGCAGTGAACATGCGGACGGACGACCCGCAGTTTCATCTGGGGTGGGGGGCAAGGCGCCCACATGAATACGGCGCGCAACCAGGCGCCCAGAAGGCCGCGACGGCGCCGCGCCTCACCAACTGCGACGCCCAGTGCGACCTCCATTCTGTTCTTGACCGCGAAGATGAGCGCGCTGGCGTGCTCGGCCGCGTTGCCGACGATGGGCACCACAATTGTCGTCAGGAACGGCATGGGCATCTTCAGCTGTGATTGTGTTGCCGATTGGGCGTGAACGCGGCCGCAGGGGGAAGTGATGACTCCCCACGGAGCAGCAGGAGGTGACAAGACAAAAGGACTCAGCATAGGGTCACCTCAGCAGGAGAGGAAGGGGCACGGAGCCCCTGTACAGCATGCTGCCGCAACCAGGCCCCCAAAGGACAACGGCCCCCCCTGGAAAGGCAGCGGCAGCCCCTTGGCCAGCCCCCCACCGCAGTACGCACCTGCGTGCTGGCGGCGTTGATGCAGCTCATGATCGCGTCACTCAGCACGGATATGAACACCGTGATCACCGCCAGCCAGAGCAGCGCGCCCGGCAGGGACAGCACCAGCTCGTCCGCGTCCTCCTCTTCAATCTGTTGGCGGGGGCGGGTGGAGGGGTTGGGGTGGCTGTGGGGTGAGATGAGGCCCACGCCTGCATGGCTGACGTCATCAGGGCGCGTTGCAGGAGGGGCATAACCGTGGGAGCAAGGCAAGGAGCAGGCTATGTGCTTCCCAGCAACGCAGCGCACAAGAGGACGCAGCAGCGCGCCTGCACACCCGCGCACGGCCTCACCGCGGCATCCACGGCAGGTGCGCCGCCCGGCATGAGCGCCGTCCGCTCGCCCTCGTCCCAGCCGAGCTCAGCTGCCTCCGCCGCCGCAACCGCAATCCGCAGGTCCGCCCTGCCACTGCTGCTGCCGCTGCCGACCCCATTGCTCAGTTGCGGCGGCGCCGCGGCACGGCGGCTGCCGCTCGCCTGGGCGGGCCCGCTGTTGACATCAACGGCTGCTGTGTGGAGCGGCATCAACTCCAAGTCCGACGCCAGCACATTTACGTGTCGCGCCTGCTGCAGCTGCTGTTGCTGCTTTTGCTGCAGGCGCTGCTCCGCCGGCAGCGCAGACCTGGGCCGCCTCGTCCCGTCGCCGCCGCAGCTGTGGCACGTGCCTGCGCGTCGCACCCCCTCCTCCTCGTCCTCGCCTTCATCCCCCAACTGCCCCAGCGGACCCGGGGCGCTGGCCGCACGGCTGGGGTTGCGGCTGGTCGTCTGGCTTGGGGTAGGCTTGGGCGGCGGGTCGCCGGCTGTCAGGTCCCCTTCGTACAGGAACCTGCATTAACATGTGCATGAAGGCACAGGGGAGATATGAGCGTGATCTGCTGACCTTGCTGACCCTGACCGCTGCGCCAGGACTCCGCTTTGTGGGACAACCGCTGCGATGCACAAATAAGATACAAAATCATCTCAGTCATCAGGCTGCTCAGCGCACATGCAACCCCTAGACGCACATCGCCTTTGGTGACACCACATGAAACGTAACAACCGGCTTCGAAATTCGCAAGTGGCAACCCTGGCGCGCAGCGCACTTGTGCGTGACGAGCTGAAAGAGCAAAAAGGTGGCGTAGCCCACCAGCATCAGGATGGACTCAAACCTGACAGGATCGAGAACAGGCGTGGCACGTGTATAGACACATGCGCGGGCGGCGCTCTGCACGGTTGAAAGCCTGCCCTGCACAATGCGTCCCTGATGGGCGGGACGCTCCTTGAGAGGCCGAGAGGCCAAATCTCGGGGCCTCCGCTGTGTCTGCGGCGTGTGCAGGCGTCTTTCTGTGACATCTGCCGGTCGGGCCACCCACCCTGGACCTTGCAAAGGCAGCCGCAGGCGGACACACTTCACCCACGCCCACCTGCTGAGTACCAGCTCGGCGTGCGAGTCCGCCCGGTTGTTTGTGGTCTCAGACAGCAGCGTCGGTAGCGCAACGCTGATCACTGCGGGCGCAGGCGGTGGCGGGAGGATCAGCTGCAGCCACGCAGGCGAACAGCACGAAAAGGGAGAACCAAGAAGATCAGTGCAGCATACAGAGCGAGCGGCCGCAGGCTGCCGCACCGCCCGGCACGAGCACACGCATGCCGATGCGCTTCTCGCCGGGCAGGCGCACCCGCCAGGATCAGCAGGCCACAGTTGACATTGACGCCCTTGGCGTTGAAGTGCTGCATCGGGTGCAGCACACCGCCAGCTATGAAGGCAGAGCCCAGGACCAGCAGCAGGTTTGACACGATGGACCCCAGCAGTGTGAGCTTCACGATGCGCAGGTACCTGCGCGGGCGGGGAGGTGCGGATGCGGCGCAGGTGGCCGGCCGGGTGTGCGCATGGGCGACGGCGGAGGTCAGGCTGTGCGCCGCGGACGCGCGCGGCGCGATGCAGCCAAGAGCCTGGCTGATCAGAGCCCCATGGCTGCTGGTGAGGGCGGCCGCACAGCGAGACAGTGCCTAGCCAGCGCACGGGCGCGCACGCATACGCAGGCATGCACACACATGCATGCACATACGCACACCCCAACATGCACGCTTCTACACCGCCCGTGCCTCTGCGCGGCGTAGCCGTTCTACTCCATTGCCATGATTGGCACTTGCTGACACCCCACCTGATCGGCCTGACCCGGGCCTCCCTTGACCAACACGGCTCACCCCTTTGATATGGCAAAAGCTGCAATGATGACCTCTGTGGCGTTGCCAAATGTGGCATTCAGCAGGCCGCCCACGCTGTCATTGGTATACAGCGCCAGCTGCTCGGTAATCATACCCAGCCGCTGCAGTGCGCGCAACCAAGCGGCGGGGCCAAGGGCAGTAGCATGGCGGTGAGAACGTGGTCGTGCATCGCCAGCTTTGCGGTGAGATCGGCTAAAACGCAGTGTACCCAAGGTGGCAGCGGCACAGCACCGGTCTTGAGTGGCAGTAAGCAGCTACAGACGCGATATGTTTCGGCCGAGAGTCGCCCTTGCGACAGGCAGCACGCACCTCAGCCAAAGAGCACAGCGGCAGCAGCGCCAGCACAAACGTCGCGCCGGCCGGCCAGCCGGCCGCGTGGCTTGCAAGTGCAAAGGGCAGCGGCAGCAGCAGGACGTTCATCTTGCTGCCTAGAAGCACCTCGGACGCTTCCGCCCTCAGCTGGCCCAGCAGGCCCTTGGGTGGAGGCTGCGAGGTGGCGCGGCACGCGTTTCGCGGCACACGGTGCAGGAATGGATTGGGTGGAACATGCTTCTTGCGCTGCCCTCGACAGCGGCAAGCACCCCGCAACTGACATGAGTTTGGTGATCGATGGCGTCATCGGAGCAGCCCGACGGCGCAGGCTCTTGGGAGTCGCGGCCGCCCGCTGCGCCTGAGCGCGGCGGTGCTGCAGAGCAGGCGCTGCTCCTCGGGAGCGATCCCCCTTGCGATGCGCACGCTCACCGCTTCATACGAACGCCGTGGTGCCCTGCTTGCCGGCAGCCAGTCCTGGGGCACCATGGCCCGCCCCAGCGGCCCCGTTCAGCGCCGCCCGATGGCTGCACGCAACCTGCCCAAGCAGCGCTGCGCGTGCGGTAGCGCTGCTTTCTGCGACGTCCGCGCTGCCCTCCGCTGACAGCACAGACCGTTGCGTGTGATCGAGCACCGAGTAATATGCAGCCGCACAGTGCTGAAATAGCCCCGTGGCTTTGGTGCCAGGGGATCGCTAGGTGCCACGAAGTGATTTGGTCAAGGGCGCCGTATGGCTAGTTGCAAGGTACATGGTAGCTGCATTACAGCCCACGCTTTATGGAACCTTGTTGTGGAAGCATGTTTGTAGCTGTGGACCGTTGCGAACGGCATCCTGGTCACCCTCGACAAAGGCTCGGACGTTGCGGATCCAGAGCTGCATGGGTCACATAAGTACGCAGACAAAAATAGTTTCCTGATATGCATGTGCCGCTCATTTGCCAAGCCGGCAAGCCCCACCTGGGCAGCCAGCAGGGTCAAAGCTTGTGTACTGTAGCGGTACAAGCAAGGGGAGTGCAGGCGGTTTCCCGGAACACCAACCCAACACGTACACGTGGTACCAATCGCCCTGGCATCTTCCCTGATGAGCAGGTGCAATGCATCGTTACCATTCTGCATGCGCACAGCGTACACAGGCGAAGGCAACCCCATGCACTTAACCACACGACAGTATCAGATATCAAGAAAAAGAGCAGGGTTGATCGCTAGGAGATTGGGACGTGCTAGACGGGAGCGCCAAGACACTACCAGCCTCGGGCGGTGATCCAATGCACGTGTGTGGCTGATGGATGGCGGGACGCCCCCGCACCCCCTCCCAAATGAATCTCTCTCACACCCACCCCCAAAAAATGGCTTGTGGCGGCAAGGAAGGGCACTGGCACAGCGTGCAGCACTGGCATGAACGCATGGCACCATTGATAGGAGCAGGAAGACGATCGGGCGACAGAAAAGGCGGCAAAAAGAGGCAAGGTGGGACGAACGTGACGTCAGGTGAATAAAATCTCCTCCGGTGGCTCGAAGGAATGGGGGAGACTCCCTTGGCAGGGCTACTGCGCAACAGTTGCGCGGCCTTTGGCCTCAAGCGAGGCGTTCAGGCGCAATGGCTCAAGGCGACTTGGCGCTGGCTGCTGCGAGCTGCATCTGCTTGCAAGCCGCCTTGTGCCCGCCCGACCATGCAGCCTTCTGGCACTTTTCGCTGCAGTAGAACGCGCGCGCGCACGCGCTGCAACGCTTGTGCGCCGCGCCCGGGGCCTCGCGCGTCGCGCACTGGTCGCAGCGGCGCCCGAATGCGGCGGCCGCGAGCGCTGCAAAGGACGGCAGGCCCACGATGGCAGGCGCGTCCGCGTCAGCAGCGCCCGCCTTCAGAGCGCCCGCGACTTGGTGGACAACGCCGCCCTCTGGCGCCCCCAGGAGCTCCGCGATCGCCGCCTCGCCGGGCCACGCCGCCGGCCCCGCGTCGCCGCCGCTGCCGGCGCAGGCCAGCAGCTGCAGCAGAGCGCCGCCAAAGGCGACGACGAAAGGTGCCTCTGTTGCGACCAGGTTGCCCGCAAACCCGCCTTTGAGGAAGAGATCCCAATTCTCCTCAAACGACAGCTCCCCAGCCGCTGCCCGTTCGTCATATGTTGCCGCCGCCTCGCCGCCGCCGCTCTCGTCAGCCCGCTCGTCCCCGGACGTAGCAGCAGCAGCGGTGGCAGCGGCGGTGGCAGCGGCGGCAGCGGCGGCGGCGGCCGCGCGCTCATCCAGGAG